TGCCACTACTATCACTACCACTACTAATAATCACCACCACTAATACCACCACCACTGCCACTCAAACTACCACCATGAACACCACTTCCCCCACTACCTCTCCTGCTCTACCACCTCCTTCAACACCACCACCTTCACCACCATCTCCTTCACCACCATCTCCTTCACCACTATCTCCTTCACAACCATCTCCTTCACCACCACCACCATCACCTCCTTCACCACCACCTCATTCACCACCATCTCCTTCACCACCACCTCATTCACAACCACCACCACCTCATTCACAACCACCTCCTTCACCACCACCACTACCACCTGCTTCACCACCACCACCACCACCATATCCTTCACCACCACCTCTTTCACCACCACCACCAACTCCTTCACCACCACCACTATCTCCTTCACCACCACCACCACATCCTTCACCACCACCACCACCACATCCTTCACCACCACCACCACCTCCTTCAGTACCACCATCAGAGCCACCACCATTACCAGCACTAAAGCCACCTTGGTACACTGAATAGTATTGCTCTTGAAGTTCACAAAGGACTGATGATTGTTATATTTCTTAGAAATTAGTATTTACTTAACAGGTTTGAATATTGTCTCATGATACAGATCATTTACATGTATTTTTATTCTTATTAGGAAAAGGGATTTAGAGCTAGCAATTGAGAATTTGTGATTGAACTATAGTTAATCACAGAAGCACAGAACCAAGAAAATGTTGTACAGAGCAGTTCAAAGATTTCATTCCTACTCTATGAAAATTAGACTTTTTTTGTTTTGTTTTCATTCTCTCAAAAACAGGCTTGATTCAGCGGCTGACTTGATGTCCCTGCATATTGGTGACAGGATCTTAGAGGTGAATGGAAGGCCTGTACAGGACTATTGTATTGAGGATATAGAAAATCTCATTGCAAGCTCTCAAGATGTGCTGCAAGTGAGTATGTTATTTCTTGTGTACTGTATGCAATGTGGGTAAATCACACACGTGACAGAAAGGTAAGAAATTAATAATTTAGTGTACAAGGAAAGAACTGAAGAGGGAAGTACAGGTCTCTCGAAGATATACATTGATGCAAAGTCCCTGTTATTGCATGTAGGTGAGTTATCTAATGGTATTTATTTATGTTTATGTATCTAGATGAGGACTTGTGATGATATATACCCCTTTTTTGTATTGTATAAAATCTTGAAACATTTCTAACAAGCCAGTTCTTTGCAGCTGACCATAGAACATGATCCAGAGGAAGTGGCATCACGACGCCAAAGTTTTCCCTTTTTGTCAACAAACCGACCTGCGCTGAGCACTTGTGATCAGGCAGAGAAGGAGGGTCAGTGTTTTACTGGTTTTATCTTGTTTTACTTATTTGATCTATAGACAGTTTTTGAGAGTTGTTTTTTTATTATATACCCATACCCATACCCATGCCCATGCCTATGGTTTTATGTTCAGAGGTACTGGAAGATTATGTATAGATATATGATATTTTTATAATTATTTTTTTAAGTATGTATACCATATGTGAATCCTGTACTGAAGATTGTCTTGTTTCAACTTCTTTTGGATCTGTATAGGGTTGCGGGAGAGATTATGCAAGAGAAGAGATGAAGGATACGTTTCTGGCACACAGAGAAGTCGTCAACTAAGGCGAGGCAGAGGGTGCAAGGAACGAGCCTCGTCACTTCCAAAGTTGTTAGATAAGTGAGTATCAGAGAGGTCTAGGGTTAGGTTTTGGCTATTTTTGCTGTTGTGTGTGAATTTTGAATCCATTGTGTTTGTGTTGCATTACCTTTTATGTCTTTGTTAATGCTGTATCTGTTACTGTTTGAAAGACTGTCTCGTTGCATTTTCCATTATTTATTTCTGATTGAAGATGTTTTTGAGAACTGGTTTAAATTTGTAGAGTATATGAAATTTTGCTTACATCATTCACTTTAATTTGTTAATTTTTGTATTTGTTTCCTAAATTCGTAACATACTTTTCAGTGACTGTCCTCGGGAAAGTGGTTACTATGACCTCAGCAGGACAAAGTCATTCCGTGTTGAGCCAAAGAATCATCGTATCTTCCGTGCATCTGATCTCACTCAGGGAGAACTTCTTGGTAAAGGTTTTTTTGGACAGGTGAGATTATTAGAGACAATGTATTTTAAGTTACTTGTTAACCTTTTGTTTCTCTCCAATCTTATTTTTTCTTTCTTTCTTTTATCAGCTAGGTATTTAGTTTTAGTTAAGAGTATGAACACCCTTCCCATAGAAGTATTTGATTGGGTAAAGTTTATTTTTTATATAATGGCTGTTCATTATGTTAGCAGAAGGCAATAAAAGTTGTTAAGTACCTTGTCTTACATGTTTTTTAGAGGGGGAGAGATAAAATGTAGGATATTAGAATAGTATATAAATGAATAGAAAACTAAGAGATATGGTACATTTCAGGTATACAAAATGACTCATTCAGAGACTGGAGAAGTAATGGTTTTGAAAGAGCTGTACAGAGTAGATGAGCAAGCACAGACAAATTTTCTTAAAGAGGTAAGGAATATTTCCTATATGATTATGTTAAAAATAGAAATATACAAATATGCTCTATGTTGGCAAAGACAAAGTGATATAGGACATAAAAGACATGATTTGATAAACTCTGAAAGTCATATGCTCCCATTTCTCATTTCAGGTTGCAGTTTTAAGAAGTCTAAGTCACAAAAATGTCCTGCGATTCATTGGAGTCTTATACAAGGACCGCAAACTACATTTACTTACAGAATACATCTCAGGTGGGACTCTCAAAGAGATCATCCATGCTCTTGATGAGCCTCTACCCTGGGACCAGCGAATCAGCTTCGCCAAAGATATAGCCTCAGGCATGGCGTACCTGCATAATTGTGATATTATACATAGGGACCTCAACTCCCACAACTGCCTAGTCAGAGAGGTGAGGTGCATGCTACAAATTTAGAAGAGCCTTGAGGGAAAATGAATGATTCCATAATGCAAGATTTGTAGCTGTTTGATATTTTGACAATTCGTCATCAGAATCATGCAATTGTAAGAAAATGTCATATGGATGATGTCAATTACATATCTTACATTGTGATTTTATCAGGTCTTATTCATATCTTATATTGTGTGAGCAGTCTGGATTATTGTTTTATTCTTATAGCTCTAGTATTCAAGCCGATTTAGTAGTTGGTTTGATGTAAAATGTGGAAGTTGAAGGAAATGTGCAATACAAGATAGAGATTCATGATATAGTTGCAGAATTTATTGTAAATAGGATTTCTGAAGGCTTGTTTTATTATGATGTTTTTAGGGGGAGGAGGCAGAAGAAGCATATTTTTTTATGTTAATTAATAAATGTTTATATAAATGGCAAGCTTTGGAGACTCAGAAATTATATGCCGGAAATATTCAATTTGTAACTTAAATTTTGGACAAATTTCTCAGGGTAATCTTTTACCTTTTATCAACTCAAGGTGCATTTATCATTTAATATACTGCTTATAGAAACACATCACACAATTCTTTTTATGATATATGATAAATTAATAATTCACTGTTTTCTCCTGCAGGATAAGACAGTTGTAGTAGCTGACTTTGGTTTAGCTCGTATTATGCCTCAAAACAACTGGACTGCTGAGAGAAAGAAGTTTGGTAAAAGACATGCAAGAAAAAAGAGGTAAGGTAGAGTCTTAAATTCCATTTTATTTTGTATGTGATGAAAAATAGTCTCATCATAACATCATGGTTTTTGACTTGCAGTGAGTACTGCCTTTGTATGATATGAAGTATGTAATTGTTAATGAGATTCATAATTTCAGATATACTGTTGTTGGTAACCCATACTGGATGGCACCAGAAATGATGAAAGGGAACAAATACGATGAAAAAGTAGACATCTTCAGCTTTGGAATTATCTTGTGTGAGGTAAGGCTCTGTTTTGAACTTTTCATTATTCTTTTGTCTGGATTATTTAATAAGTAAAAAAGACAAAGGGGTTGATAAATAAGAAAGTCATATTAGTGATAGTCATTGCAAATATTGACTCTGTTCCACACCCCATTAAACTCTCTAGATTATCGGTCGAGTGGAAGCAGACCCCGACTACATGCCACGGTCTATGGACTTTGGCCTAAATGAGTCGGTCTTCAAAGCTAAATATTGCGAGGAATGTCCAGAGCCTTTTTACAAGATAGCCTTCTTGTGTTGCAATGTTAATCCTGATGCAAGGTACGTTGTACATTTCTCTCTCTCTCTCTCTCTTTCTCTCACTCTTTCTCTCTCTCTTTCTCTTTCTCTCTCTCTTTCTTTTTTTCTTTCTTTCTTTCTCTCTTTCTTTCTTTTTTTCTTTCTTTCTTTCTCTCTTTCTTTCTTTCTTTCTCTCTTTCTTTCTTTCTCTCTTTCTTTCTTTCTCTCTTTCTTTCTTTCTTTCTCTCTCTCTCTTTCTCTTTCTATCTCCTTCTCTTTCTTTCTCTCTCTCTGTCTCTGTCTCTCTGTCTCTGTCTCTGTCTCTCTGTCTCTGTCTCTGTCTCTCTGTCTCTCTCTGTCTGTCTCACTCTCTCTCTCTCTCTCTATCTCCCTCTCTCTCTCTCTCCCCCTCTCTCCCTCTCTCTCCCTCTCTCTCTCTCTCCCTTGTATAACTTCGTATAATGTATGCTATACGAAGTTATTACGTTCTCTCTCTTCTCTCTCTCTCTCTCTGTCTCTGTCTCTGTCTCTGTCTCTCTCTCTCTCTTTTTTCTTTCCCTCTTTCTTCCTTTTCTCTCTCTCTTTCTTTCTCTCTCCTTCTCTTTCTTTCTCTCTTTCTTTCTTTTTTTCTTTCTCCCTCTCTCTCCCTCTCTCCCTCTCTGCCTCTCTGCCTCTCTCCCCCTCTTCCCCCCCCCTCTCCCTCTCCCCCCCTCCCTCCTTCTCTCCCTCCCTCCCTCCCTCTCTCTCTCTCTCTTTCTTTCTTTCTTTCTTTCTTTCTCTTTGTTCAGCTACAAATATGTTGGTAAATTTTCATAATAATAGGTTTCAAGAATAAATAATGCTCAGATTCTAGTATCTGGTTTCTTGATTTCCAATTGGAAATTTTGCTGAGAAAGCTAGAAACAACCATACAAATGAAGAATCATTAAAGGTATATATAAGACAGTTAAAGTAATGGGAGAAAATTAGAAATTGCTGAGAGGCTATGGATTTCTTCATATTTTTCCTTTTCCTCTTCTTCATCATCCTTTTTGTCATTTTTCCTCACTTCTTCATCCTTTCCCCTTTTCATAGGTATATTTTTCCTTTTATTCATCATTTTTTTATCATCATTGTTTTTGTCTTCTTCCATCTCTTCCTCCTTATCTTTTTCATCTTTCCTTAATCGTCTTCCTTCTTCATCATTTTCCTCCATCCCTTCATCACCTTCCTCTTCCGTCTTCCCCTGAATCTCATTGATATTCCTCATTGTTGCTATTAATCTTCGTCTCCTTTCCAGACCTGCTTTTGAAGTTTTAGAAGTTTGGTTAGAAGGATTAGCGATGCATTACACAGTGGGAGCTCCGTTACCTTCTAACCTCCTTGGTGACATTTATAACTTCAATGGTAAAGTGTCCATTTGTTCCGTAAATAGGCAGTTGTTAGTCTGATTAATAAATATTTTGAAAATATTCTTTCTCAGGTTAGTTGTATCAATTTGGTGTGTATATATGATGATTATATGCTTTTATAATGTGTTTGTCTTACAATTGAAGTTATATGTATATGAGGTGTATAGCCTTCTCTTTAGATAATTTCTGTCTAACAACTGAAGGCATATGTATATGAGGTGAATAGCCTTCTCTTTAGATAATTTCTTTAGGTCTTCAAGTATATTGGATCTGTGGTTGGAAAGCAGATTAGAAAATGTGGAAATGAGTGATTTAAGACAAAACAATCTGAAGCTTTTCTGAAAGGTTTTTGTTAGTAGAGGTAGGCCCTACTTTGTTTTCACAGGTGACTGCGTTTTTTTAAATGTTTATCCATTTTGTAAATTTAACCATTTTATGAATTTAGCTATATCAGAAACAGCCTGCAAGTAAGGTTATATTCTAGCTCCAACTCAATCTCACCTGTAGGGACATTGTGGGAAGGTTGATGTTTCAATGGAATTTGATATTCATGGAACATGTCTGGCTAGATAGTAAAATAGACTTTCAGAAAAACTTCAGGAGAGCCTCTGTGATCACCTGATTAAAGTACCCTGTCTATGCAGTTGCCTGATTGTTCATGGAAGAGGAAATTCGTGGGAGAAGAAATGTCCAAGAAAAATTCCTTCAAGTTGCGCCTACAAGTTTTTTTGTTTTTTTTCTTCTTTTTTCTTTTTAAGGAAATTAGCATGTTCGACAGGCAACCTACCAGAAAGTGAAACTCAAGAATTTGATTAATGTTATCTACGAAGAGCACTCGAGACAGACAAATGGGTGAGAGGGGGAACTGTAGCTATGTTGATATTTATTTATATATTTATTTTTTTACCAAGATGGATGGATAAAAAAAGGAATACATGGTCTTCAAAGCATAATACAACTGGCTGCCCGTTTACCAAAGCTGATGGAGAGCAGAAGGGTATGTGTAAACCCATGCCTGGCCTGAGAATCCTTTACTAATTTAACCCATCCTCCAAACCAGTGCAAGTACTTTGTGAGTGATACAGTGCAAGGTCTTTGGTGCAGCCAAAGTAAGGTATGATGCTTGAGTAATGGGGTATCGTCTGAGTGATTTGAAGTGTGATCAAGCTATATTCGAAAGTCTTCACCATCGGTCAGGTGAGGGAGGGGAAGTCACGAAGCCGATGGAAACGGGTTTTGGAGAAGACAAAGGAGACTGGTTTATAGGTAAGTAATTCTGGAAGATATTGAATTTCAAAATATAGGTGACATCACTAAATGTGCAATTCAAAAGTGACAGATACACAAACTGCTGATACTTCTGGAAGCAAGGAATATGAGTTTCATTTTTTTGAGGACAAGGTTTTCATTAGAAACAGATTGCAAATCTTCAAAGAGAAACACTTTGTGATCTGAATGACAGTAAAGCCTTTAAAAAATCTTTATAGGTATGAAAGATCTGGAATAGAGAAGTGATGAGAAAGGCAGATATAACATTTAGACCAGATAAATTCAGATGAGGAAGATGAAAGTGCTTGAGATGTTTTTTGGACTAGTGAGAATTTTGGAGGAACTATGTGGTGATGCCATGTGAAAAGTGTTGGGATCCATTCTTGATAGAAAGGGGATCCTTGCTTTTCCCTTGAGAGAGAGTGAAAGAGCATATGTCCCCACAGCTGTTGTATGCAGAAATAGTTTCGTATATTGATAATATGTATATCACTCAAAAAAAAAAAAAAAAAAAAAAAAAAAAAAAAAAAAAAAAAAAAGACCAGTAGGACTGAAAATTATCAGATCAGTAGATTAGCAAATGGCACCAACACTTTTCAACACTTGCTTGGACTGGATAATGGGCAGAGCTACCATCCAGTCACTGTGGAGCAACAGTGGGCAATATCAAGGTCACAGACCTTGACTTTGCCAATGATGTTGCTCTCATATCTGAGTCTCTGGAACCTCTAGTGGTGGCTCTTGATGCGTTCAGCAATGAGACGAAGCACCTGGGCTTAGAGGGCTACTAGACCAAGACCAAGATCCAGGATTTTGAGGGCTTGTTAGGAGAACCAATTCAGTCGATACAGGCTTGCAGTAAGGACGTTTAAGTCACAGAGAGCTGTACATGCCTTAGTAGTGCAGTCCATGTCTCTTGGCTGTCAGACCAGGAAGTCAGTCAACAAAAGTATTTGGAGGTGCCAGTCCTTATGCTGAAGGACTAAGTTACGTGTCTTCAAGACCTTGATACTGGATGCAATCTAGTGTCTTGGAGTTGTGTCTTGTTGCCTTTTGTAACAAGTCCCTACTCCAGATCATGGGGTACAGTTGACAGGACCGTATGTCCAACTGATGACTACACCATGAGACTGGCATGGGATACAAAAGGCATCGAGACGCAACTCCAATGCACTAGATTGCATCTAGTATCAAGGCCTTTAAGACATGTAACTAGGAGGTTGTAGCTTGGGCAGCTCAACTAGACCTGTCATGGGCTGAGAACCTGCCTGGCGACTTGCCATGGCTGGAAGCGAAGGGTGGTTGCCTCAGCCCCTTTGATGTTGATGATGAAAGGAGAGTGTTGTAATGTTGTCTAAATGACCATCTAGAATGTGATCAAAGAGAGACAATTCCAGGACACTGCAAACTATTTATAAACTGAATTAGCAACTTTGGGAATCTTGGCATCCAGAACTGTTCTTGATTTGAAGAGAGTCATTGATTAGAAGAAAATGGGACTAAAGCATATAGAAACTAATGCTAAGAGGAACTTGATATCAATCCAAAACCTCAGTCTTATTTTGAATTTGGAAAGTATTAAGAGGGAGAGATCCCAATATAGAAGTTGGCCCATGACACTGAAGATCAGAGTTCAAAGGATGATGAGAGTAGTAAAAGGATCATATTTGCACATGTACCTAAGAAGAGCTACCAATTGAATATTTCTGGCAGAGACATAGAAATTCTGAAGGGGATATTGATAAGAATACCGTGGTTCTGTGCCGCTTTGCTAGGAAAGGCTTTGAGGATAGACAGATGCAAAGTTCCGTCTTAGAAAAATGGCAAAATCATACATACATACTGAACTAGACGTTATGAGCTAGTTTCTTTAGATGTAAAAGTTTATGTTAGCCCATTCATTGATGGGTACAAGATTGTATAAAGTTGGGTGAGATTGGGGTGCATCAGCACATGCCACCCTTTCTGTGCCTGGGTATTGTTTGGCCACCTTGCATTACATGGCACCATGCTGTGGGGTTAGTCAAGATTAAACAGGTCATGAAAGACGGTATGAAGTGTATCTCTACCCAGGAGGAATATTTTGCTTGATTGAGATGGCTTGTTAATGAGTGTGAAGGAAATACAATAGGCTTTACGGTATACACATTTTACCAGTTTTACCAGCCTGTCTGAAATTGTAACCTATCACATACTGATGGAAAGTAACAAAATGTCATCTTGAGTCCTAAAATGGAAGAAAATGAAGTGTCAACATAAAAGGCAAACATGATTATTTTTCACTAAAATGCCTAATTCTTCCCAATGTGAAGAGAGCTCTTAACATATTGGCCTGTTTTAAGTCATGTTTCAACATACATACAAAGAGTTTGAGATATGCAAAATTTAAACATGGTGAAAGTTTCAAGGCCTTATAGAAAACATGGATACCACACATTTCCTATGTATAAGGTATATCAAGTCAACTTAAAATTATGTAACATTATTTATGTAAAAAATAGAAGGATGAATTCAAGCTGAGATAACAGCAACGGAATAAAAAGGATAAAAGGAGAAGAACAGCCCTCAAAGGAATACTATCACTTGCATAGCAGAGTGCCTGGAATAAAAATTTGTAATTAAATAAGATCAAAATTACCACCTTACCTGTGGAACTCCATGGAAATATAACAAGATGCATCTGTGTTTGTTTAGTGTGGTTTACCTGCACTTCAGCCCTGGCAAACCTTTTTTCCTATTGTACAGTATTTCAGGACATGGGATGATGTTAGGCAACTGTATAGGTAGGGTATGTTGAACAGGTTGTACTTGATTATTTCAGGTATTTTCAAGTGTGTTAATGCATGCACCAGAAGTGTGACTAATATTAAAACACAAATTTTGCACACCACATTCTATCAAAGGTAGATTCTGAATAAAGTGTTAACTTAGTTTCAAATAAAAGAAAGGAATAGACTTAGATATAAGTTGCATGTTTATGTCCACCATGTATACAATATTCTGGTCTTCCAGGGAGGAGCTCCAGTTCTTCAGAAGCATCCACACCCGAGGCCTTAGCTCCTGACTCTCGGCATCCACCTCCCCTCCTGCGCACTATTAGTGAAGGGACCTACACAACCACTGACAGTTTGAGTCTTGGCTCCTCATCCTCCTTCACCCTGCATGACAACCGGAGCTTCGAGTCTCCTGCAGGGTGGAGTCTTAATGACAGTATAGATCTGGAGGACTTGGACACCTTCAACAAAAGCTGGGAGTGCAGCAACGACAACATCAGCTCTCTCGAAAAGGCGGTCAAGCTCTCCACGGTGAAAGATACTGACCAAAGTGCGAATCCAAACACAGTGATAGCGGAGGAGCCAAAAGCTCTCCCTCCCTCCTTCTCGAAGTCTCAGGCCAGCAGCTCAATGGGTGATATGGAATGTACACAACTATGAGAATTTTGCTGTTAGAATTTAGAAAATTGATTTGCCATGATGCAATACATGCAGCATGAACTTGTTGCATGAAAAGAAAAAAACTTGGTAATTTTACTCAATTAAATTGCATTGTTAAGTATTAGATACAAAACTTTGGTACAAAGTTGACTTATAGCATTCCTTTTATAGTGATGTTAGAGATTTCTTTAATTATAATGTAGAGGTATATTTCCTTTTAAAGGTGATGCGTTTTTCCCATCTGTATTCTAATGCCTTTGATCAGTATCAGAGATTACCGGATCAGTTATTCCCTAACAGTATGATTCAAAGGGAGAGCAGTTATTTCTCTCACAGATAGTAGAAGTAAGCTCAAATGTGATTTCAAACTTTTATTTCTAATTTATTTTGTAGTTTTTTGTCCTCTCGAGAATTAAGGAATAATAATAGTTGTTTTATATATATATACATATATATATATATATATATATATATATACATATATATATATATATATNGAGGGAAGGAGGAGGGAAGAGGGGATGGAGGGATGGACAGGGAGAGGGAAGAAGGGAAGGGAGGGAGGGAGGAGGGGATGGGGATGGGGGATGTCATTCACGGCTGGAGATTGGTCACCGCAATGCTTGTGCTTTTTCGCTCGGTCGGTGCTTCTGGATGTCGGTGTTTTTTTTATTTATTTTTTTTTTCTTGTCTTTTTTGCTTGTTTTATTTGCTCTCTTTCTCGCGAGGTCTTTTGTGGTCGGTTTCTGGCTGTTTCTCTCTCTCTCTCTCTCTCTCTCTATCTCTCTCTCTCTTTTTTTTTTTTTTTTCTCTCTCTCTCTTTATCTCTCTCTCTCTCTATCTCTCTCTCTCTCTATCTCTCTCTCTCTTTTTCTCATTCTCCTCTCTCATTCTGTCTTCTCTCTCTCTCTTATTCTCTCTCTCTCTCTTCGTCTCTCTTTCTATAATGTATGCTATACGAAGTTATTACGACAGTGATGATGATAATTCGTATAACTTCGTATAATGTATGCTATACGAAGTTATTACGCAGAAACCGACCACAAAAGACCTCGCGAGAAAGAGAGCCAATAAAACAAGGAACACCGACAACAAAAAAAAAAAAAAAGAAGGAAAGAAAAAAAAAACACCCCCATCCAAAACGAAATAACTTCGTATAGCATACATTATACGAAGTTATACGAAGAAGAAATAAAAGGAGAGGGAGAGGGGGAGGGAGAGGGGAGAGGGTGACGAGAAGGAGAGGGGAGGGAGAGGGGAGAAGAAATGGGAATTAGAGGGCGAGGAGAGAGAGAGAGAAACAGCCAGAAACCGCCCACAAAAGCCCTCGCGAGAAAGAGAGCACATAAAACAAGGAAAAAAGGCAAAAAAAAAAAAAAACCCCTACACCAAAAATCACCGACCAAGAAAAAAAGCAAAAAAAAAAAGAAAAAAAAAAAAAAACACCCCCATCCAAAACGAAATAACTTCGTATAGCATACATTATACGAAGTTATACGAAGAAGAAATAAAAGGAGAGGGAGAGGGGGAGAGAGGGAGAGGGAGAGGGAGAGGAAGAGGAAGGGAGAGAGAAAGAGAGAGTAAGAGAGAGAGAGAAAGGACAGCGGACGAGAAAGAACGGAGGGAGGGAGAGGAAAAGAGAGAGAAAGAGAAGGAGAAAGGAAAAGGAAAAGGAAAAAGAAAAAGAGAAGGTGAGCGTGAGCGAGAGAGAGAGAGAATAAGAGAGAGAGAGAAACAGCCAGAAACCGACCACAAAAGACCTCGCGAGAACGAGAGCAAATAAAACAAGCAAAAAAAAAAAGAAAAAAAAAGAAAGAAAAAAGAAAAAAGAGAGAAAAAAAAAATCT